TTTCTTAACTACCTCTTTCATGACAGGGTTCAGCCTTCTCTGAGGTTCTATGGACATGAAGTTTTTATCCTCTAAGATGATCTTGTGTTGACAAATAAAGGGACTAATCCCTTTTAGGTCAGCAATGGTCCATCCTAAGGCCTTCTTGCGTAATTTCAGCATATCCACAAGTTTCTTTTCCTGATGCAATTCTAGGGTAGATGAGATAATGACAGGCAATTTGCCTTCTTCTCCTAGAAAAGCATATTTCAAGTGGGATGGGAGTTGCATTAACTCCAACTCAGGTGGTGATTCTATGGACGGGGTGAAGTCTTTTTGCTCATTATTTTCAAGCAGCTCAAATGCTGCAGCATCTACTGGGACAACATCAGTTCCTATCTCTTCTATCTCCTCAATACTTTCTTCTTCTATTTCCTCATCATACTCTCCTTCCAACTTAAGGTTTCTCTGAATTCCTTCTTCCAAACACATCTCCTCTATCTCATCTATTCTTGAACACTCTTCTAAGTAATCAGGGTACTTTATACAGTTGAAGACATTAAAGGTGACTTTTTGGTCCTGGAGTCTCATGGTTAACTCTCCTTTCTGGACATCAATCAGGGTTCTTTCGGTGGCTAAGAAAGGTCTTCCTAAAATAATCAGAATGTCCTTATCGGCCTCAAAATCTAGTATGATAAAGTCTGCCAGAAATATGAACTTGTCAACCTGTACCAAAACATCTTCAATTTTCCCCTTAGGATATGCTATGGACTTGTTGGCCAATTGGAGTGTGACGGTGGTGGGTCTAGCCTCTCCTATGCCTAAGGTGTTAAAGACATACAAAGGCATGAGGTTAATACTAGATTCTAAGTCACATAGGGCTTTCCCTATCTCCTTCCCTCCTATTGAACAAGGAATGGTAAAACTCCCTGGATCTTTTAGCTTAGGGGGTATGCTATTGGTCAAAAGCGCACTACATCCTTCAGTTAGGGCTACTGTCTCATACTCAGTCAACTTCTTTTTCTTGCTTAAAATATCCTTCAGAAACTTAGCATAACTAGGCATTTGCTCAATTGCTTCAACAAGGGGTATGTTGATGCGCAATTCTTTAAACACATCCAAGAACTTTTTAAAATGCAATTCCTCTTTCTGATTCCTTAACCTTTGGGGGTAAGGAACATAAGGATGGATTGGTTTTATCACATTTTTGCTTGGAGGTGTTGAGCAAGATGGGTCTTGAATGTCCTGAGTCTTTGTGGTGCTCTTGAGTGGTTCTGGTGGAATCTTATTATCAAGCTTAGGTGTCTATACAACCTCAGTCCCTTCTGACTTCTTCAGAGTCTCCTCTGGAAAAAGTAAAGGGAAGTCTGATCTAGAGGGAACAAGAGTAGTGGTCTCAGATGTTTGCTTTTCTAAAAGTGGGACCGGTCCTTCTTTGAGAGGGACCGACACTAGATCACTAGGTTCTGACAGTCTTGGTGTATTATATTTCTGCACTTTTTCCGTCAACTCCTTTCCACTCCTAAGAGTTACTACTTTCACATGCTCCTTTCCTAGGTCTCTAGGGACTTCTGTATTACTAGGCAAGGTTCCATGGGCTCGACTATTCTGGTTAAGAGCAAGTTGACTGACTTGAGTCTCTAAATTCCTGATGGCAGCACTTTGTTGATTAATCAAAGCTTGATTTTGGGCCTGAGCCTGCGCTAAAAGCCCTTTAATCATTGCTTCCAAAGAAGATGATGATTATGCCTGTGGAAGAGGTTTGTTCTGAAAATGTGGCTGAGAATTTTGAAAACTTTACTGGTGGTTCTGAGAGTTAGAACTGTTTGCATGATGCTGTGGTTGGAAATTAGAAGTTCCTTGCTGCTTATGGACTGGTGGATTAAGGCTGGGACTGGTCCAAGAAAAGTTTGGGTGCTGTCTCTAACTGGCATTATATGAGTTAGAGTATGGATTAGATCTGTTTTGAACATAATTTACTAATTCAGAATTATGAGTACAATGTTTATATGAATGATCCCCACCACAGCACACACATTGCACAGATAGGACTGTTGGAACAGATGTGTTAGCAGCTTGCTATACTCCCTGACCAGAAGTTAAATTTTTCAATAAATTGGTCATGGAGGTAAGCTGAGCTGTTAATGCAGTATATGCATCCATCTCATGTATTTTTTTAGCAGTCTTTTTCTGTGGCTGGGCCCGTGGGTCAGCCCAATGCCCATTGTTTACTGATATCTCTTCTAGGATCTCATATCCCTGATTATAGGTACTGGCTGTAAAGGCTCCGCCTGCAGTCGCGTCAAGCATTTGTTTTGCCATGGGACTTAACCCATTGTAAAACGTCTCAAGTTGAATACAGTACGGAATGTCATGGTGTGGGCATTTCCTTAACAGCTCTTTAAACCTTTCCCACGCATCAGGAACAGCTTCATCATCCAGTTGTTTAAAAAGACAGATTTCATTTCTGGACTTAGCGTTCCTTGTTGGTGGGAAATATTTTCGCAAAAACATTTCCGCCATGTTACCCCATGACGACACAGATCCTGGTGTTAAAGAGTTAAACCATGCTTTTGCCCGATCCCGTAATGAAAATGGAAATAAAGTAAGTCTGAGAGCGTCATTGGACACTCCCGGGATCAGGAAGGCATCTGTGATTTTCATAAAAGACTTTAAATGAGAATGTGGATCTTCTGAGGACAGTCCAGCAAATTGGCCATTAGTCTGTAACATGTGAAACATTATCGGTTTTAGCTCGAAATGGAGAGCGGTCATATGTGGTCTAACTATCYCAGAATTTAATTGCTCAAAATCCGAGATAGCATAATCCATGATCCTTCCATTTTTGGAATTTGCCAGATTAATGATGTTYGRAGTTTGTGCCCTTTGTTGCTCATTAGGGTCCGATTCTGTGTCCAAATTATTATCATTTTCATGATGTGGGTTTCCTTGGTGAAAAATTGGGAACGGTGGTATTTGCACAAAAATTGGCGGTTGATTTTCCAAATATGGTACTTCCGGAATGTTGGGAGCAGGTAACTCCATGTTGGGAGGGAGTAGAGCCTGAAATGCTCTTTGAGCCCTCCTTCTATGGTGAAACGTTCTCTCAATGTCTGGATCAATTTCAAAAAATTTCCCGCGATGTGTTCTTGGCATACACCACTTTTCAAAAACTGGTACTAGAAAAATCAAGTCTTTTACTTGACTCAAAAGAAAACTTTAAGCTTGCCTATCCCCGGCAGTGGCGCCAAAAACTTGGTCAGTCAAATCCTTTACCTTTAGACTTAATGAAATTGGGCCACAAAGCAAGTATACAATACGGCCCAACGTCGTCTTTCCAAGTAATAAAGTGGTACAAGTACCAGAATATCGTCCACAGGGATTGGAGCAAAAGTTAAATAAGAGTCCAATAAAAGAAAAGATTTCAGATGACGAAAACGAAGACTTTAGTTTGATTCCAAGTTAACACAGGTAATATAACAGAATAATAAAGCAGATTAATAAAGCAGAATAATAAAGGTAGCACGGGTGTAAGATTTGGGGTGAAACGTAAGCACGAAATCCAACAGACAAAGTTGTGGAAGGACCGGTCCCACCATTTATCTTGAAGGTATTCCTCTCGGACTTCACCTTTGCACTATATTATAGCTTTGCACCCATATCTCTATGTGGTGTTCGGACCACGGATAGTGACAAAATGGTGTCTTCAAGATATATGGCTAAACAAATCTCTTTGTTAAAAATCACTCTTTCGAGC